CCCCCCACCCACCCACACACACATTTTTTTGTTAGTAGTAATCAGTATTATCGTTAAGTAGTTGGGCCACATAAAAATATTTCTTAGTTAGCCCCCAAGTTGCTATTATACTCAAATAATATCATTTGATGACTAAAATGTTTTCTTGTCTTTTAAAAATTCTTTCAGGTTTATTTTCCAACATAAAGTTGTATCGCTCAAACAATGATTACAGTTGTGGATTCTGGGGGATCACTAAGGGATCCTCCCCCCCCTGCCCACACACCCCACAACACACACACATACACTTTTTTTTTTTTACCATAAGCCATGAAGAGGTCCACACAACATTGCACTGTTTATTTTTTTATTGTCCTTTTGTCAGGAAACCTTAAAGCAGTGGTTCTCACCCTTCCTAATTCCGCAACCCTGGTTCCTCGTGTTATGCATGGTGACCCCCCCCCCAAACCCATAAAACCATTTCCGTTGTTACTTCCTCAACATGTGTTTTCAGATGGTCTTGAGCGACCACTGAGTAAGGGTATTTTCGACTCCCCAAAGGGGGTCGCAACCCACAGGTTTCGAATCGGTGCCTTAAGAGATGCGGAAACATCTTCGTCCGTCATTGTGACCCCCTTTTTGATCGGCCCCTACGGTGCTATTTTATTGATTATCATTGGATTATTCCTTTTATTATTTTTATTTTTGGTTTGTCCGGTCCCCTTCCGCTGGCGTCCTGTAATCGCGTCCTCCCAGGGGAACACAGGAAATGTCGCGTCTCGTGTTGTAAAACGATACTTTTTCTCGCGCCAAATGGAATGTGCTATTTTCTGGTGCCATCTCCAATCTCAGCTCTGAAACTGTCAATCGCCATCTCAGCTTGGAAAGCTTTCAATCACAATCTCAGCTCCGAAAATTTCAATCTCAATCTCAGGTCGGAAACTGTCAATCACAATCTTAGCTGGATAACTTTTGCTCACAACCTCCTTCGAGGAATCCATCCATTACAATCTCATCTCGAAACATTTTAACGAAAATATTTTCCATTCAATGACAGGATCAATGTTCTCCAAGGAGCATTCAGGTACAATCATGTTTTAAAAAAATCGTTCAAACGAATATGGTAATCGTATTCGTGAATAGTTTTGATTTTTTTTTTCATTATTATAAATTTATCGTTTAGCCTTCGTTTCGATTTTCTTTTATGACGTCAACTCTCTTTGGATCTAAAGCGGGGAAAAAAATACAAACAAAAAAGTGTGGATCGCCAACTTTCTTTCCATATATGGGTCCTTGTATAATTTCACAAGTACCTTTATCCCCTGATTTCATTTTGTACAAATGTTCTGGGGCCTGTTCTTGCCGGGCGACGCACGAAACGACGCATTGAGTAAAGATAGTTTGAGCTACGTGGCCCAGCTCAGACCTTCCTTCGTGGCCAAGGCCTTCCTTCGTGGCTCAGACCTTCCTTCATGGCCCAGGCCTGCCATCGTGGCCCAGGCCTGCCATCGTGGCCAAGGCCTACCATTTTTGTCCAGGCCTGCCATCTTGGACCAGGCCTGCCTTCGGTTGTGAGGAAATTTGTCTGAGCAAGGCAATTCCCTTGTCAAGCGTGACACTGTGTGGCTGTACCAATAATCGATTACACGAAGCTGTAAGAAAATAATCGATGCTGTCCTTTTATCACGTCGAACAATTCTCTAGGTGTTAATGTATGGCTGTCACGCTAAGAGAAACAGTATTTTAAAGAATTTCCACTCTAAGCATACCCCCTCTCTTTTAATAAACAAAAAATACATATAAAAAAACAGAAAAAAATGTGAGAGACAATCGCCTGAAAAATTTTTCATTTTCAAAATATGCACATGTCTTCTTAAAAATTCGTTCTTCTTTTTTTAAATTCGCTGGATCAAGAAACAAGGATTGTTTGTTTTAAAAGTATCTATAATACGTTTTCTTCACCCGAAATCTAAGTTTAATATATCAAATTTATGTTTAAACAAAAAAGATGTTTAAATCTGTTAAACAATTATACAAACATAAAATTACCACAAACTAGCAATTCAATCAGTATCACGCAATCAAATTTGAGAATGTAGAAAATCTATTTATTAAAGTAATAAAGATATAATCAAATAAAAGAGCACAATAAATGAGGTTTGTTTTACAGTAAATCAATAAATTGTGTTTTTTACAATTCTTTGGTATAATATAAATTCGTACTTTTAGTCCCGTAGTTCACACAACCTTTGGTCCAGTATTTGACACACCTTTAGTCCTGTAGTTAACACACCTTTAGTCCAGTATTTGACACACCTTTAGTCCTGTAGTTAACACACCTTTAGTTCAGTATTTGACACACCTTTAGTTCTGTAGTTAACACACCTTTAGTCCAGTATTTGACACACCTTTAGTCCTGTAGTTAACACACCTTTAGTCCAGTATTTGACACACCTTTAGTCCTGTAGTTAACACACCTTTAGTCCCAAGTACCTTGTAGCAACTATGGCGTATTACAGGCTCCAAAAGCACATTTTATATTTAAGAAATCCATTGGCACGTCATGAAATGACCATCGATCATTCGTCTTTTTGACAAACGTCTTCAAGATGCTGACAGTCGTACTGTTTTCATCCCTGCTGGATATCATGCTATTCAGTTATCATTTTGTAGAGATTATGCGTCATACAGTTTGTCATGTCGTCATCTTTTTGTCATGTCATCCAGTCGTCATTGCATCCAGTTGTTATTTCATCCATTCGTCATGTCTTCCAAATGCCATGTCATCCTATTGTCGAGTCGTCCAGCTGTCATGTCATCCAACTGCAGAGTCATCCAGTTGTCATGCCGCCTGATTGGTGGTTCTTCCGTGCTCATATCACATGACTCTACCTTATGATTCCCCCACTGGTGGGCGACTCAAGCTGCCACTGTCACGTGCGAGAACCCCATGTCCTCGACTGTCGCCTGACCGACGTCCATCTCGCCCGGGATCCCACCAATGGTCATAATGATGTTGGGTGTGATGACGAATGCATACACGATGGCGAACACGATGATGACCAGAGCCGACGCAATGGCTATGATGCTCAGCCAGAGCGCCAGCTCGCTGCACTTCCCGGAGGAGGTCGAGTTCCCGTCCTTGCGGTACTTCCGAGAAAGAAGACTGCAGACCACCGCGGGAATCCCCAGAAACGGGTTCAGAAGCAGCGCCAGGCACGCCAAGGGCAAGTAGTGAGGCGAGGACCTGTAGACGCGGATGACGTTGTCTCCCCCTGTCAAGGGCTGCGTGACGTTGGCGGAGCCGTTCAGGGAGATGATGGACTTTGACCTTTCGTCCAGGTAGTCTTTGCTCGAGCTGACCCGTGACGTCACGGTCTCCGTGGAGCTCGGCTCTGTGGTGACTGATGACATGATGCCTGGGTGATATAAACAATATATGCTGTATGTATGAAATAAACGACATATGGTGTTTGTGTGACGTAAACAATTTGTTGTATGTTTAAAGTAAACAACATATGGTGCATGTGTGAAATAAACATCATATCTTATATGTGTGAAATAAACAATATATAAACAACGTTGAAAAAAACAACATATGGTGTATGTGTTAAATAAAGAATATAAGATGTATGTTTAAAATAAACAACATAAACTGATTATCAGAAATAAAAATACAAATTATGTTACCCTGTGAAATAAACGACATAAACTGTCAACTTAGAATAAACCACACGTCTGGATTTGACCGATCAAACTCACGTAAATAGTCCATTGCCGCTGCAAAAGGGGGGGGGGGTGGGGGGGAGGAGGAGCCTGGAGTGGCCCAAACGTGTGACGTGGAACAACAAATTAGCTGTCTCATTTAAAAGCATGGCCACCGTACAGAAAACGAACTGCCAAATATTTAAAATCTTTAGTTTTTTTGGGTTTTTTATGGAACACTTTATATTTTTTCGGAAACATGTTTTCTTTGTAAATGTATCATAGCTCTCGGATTTATAAACCGATCAAAATATCAGTATGATTACGAGTCTATAAATTGTTAAATATTAATCAAGACATACAGGAAAACGTATTTGGAGAGTTAACTTGTTGTATTGAAATTCTCAACAAGGTGTAGTGTCTACTGCTGCTGATGATGATCTTAAAAGTTTAGAACGAACTATAGAAACAAAATCCCAAACGCCGTTGTGCACAAACATTTTTCAAAGAAAAGTTTGTAACTTTCTAAAGAACACTTTGTCCTTTTTAAAAGAACGCTGTGTCATTTTTCAAAACAACACTTTTGTCATTTTTTTAAAAGAACACTTTGTCATTTAATTTTTAAAACACTTTGTCATTTTTTTTTTAGAGATCACTTAGTCATTTCTAAAAGAACACTTTGTAACTTTTAAAAGACCACGTTTTCATTTTTAAAAGAACACTTTGTAACTTTTAAAGGAACACATTGTCATTTTTTTAAAGGACATCCTAAAATTTTTACTTTATACGGTCGTCTGGAAAGCCTGCCATGGTTACATCTACCTGTAACCGGTTTCATTTTGTTGGGGACAGCGGTCTCATTGCTGCAAATTATATGTGTTTACTAAAAATTTTACTCGTATGTGAATGTATCTGGTTTTGTTGCATATCTTGTTTTTGTTTTGCTACATAACTTATTTTGTTACATAACTGGTTTTGTAACATAACTGGTTTTGTTACATATCTGGTTTTGTTACATAACTGGTTTTGTTACATAACTGGTTTTGTTACATATCTGGTTTTGTTACATAACTGGTTTTGTTACATAACTGGATTTGTTACATAACTGGTTTTGTTACATAACTGGTTTTGTTACATATCTGGTTTTGTTACATATCTGGTTTTTTTACATAACTGGTTTTGTTACATAACTGGTTTTGTTACATAACTGGTTTTGTTACATAACTGGTTTTGTTACATATCTGGTTTTGTTACATATCTGGTTTTGTTACATAACTGGTTTTGTTACATAACTGGTTTTGTTACATAACTGGTTTTGTTACATAACTGGTTTTGTTACATAACTGGTTTTGTTACATATCTAGTTTTGTTACATAACTGGTTTTGTTTCACATCTGGTTTTGTTACAGATTTGTTTTGCGAAACCAAAAAAATCAGTTGCAGACGTTGCTGTTAAAAGGCAACGTATGTAAATTTTAAACCAGAGGCGGTTGGCAATGCCATACGAGAATATCGTTAATAACTTTATGTCGTTAATCATCTCACATGTGCCCTTAAGCATAAGACCCCAAAAAAAAAAAAAAAAGAAAAAATCAGCTGGTTTCTGCGCTTGACTCATGCGTGTGTTTCTCACTGTCAGACATCTCTTATATATATATCGCTTCTGGTGTGACTGCTTCCATTTCCGGCTGCATACTAACAAGCTGGCTGCTTCCTTTTCACCGTATTTTGTTACTGAGATTATGTTCGTAGCTTTTGCTGTCTGCTTTGTATTTTGTGACGTATATTTGGGTATAGGAAATGGCGATGTTAACATTCATAATGTTGTTATGTTTTAGTAGGAGCAGGAGTGATGGCGTAGTTAGTAACGGTGTAGTAGCTATGGAGACGTTTGCCACATGAATTACTGGTTTGTAAAATAGTTAATAAAAATGAATTATATAATGTACTAGTTATAGCTCGCCAAACATTGGCGACGGCATTGCGTGAACTTCCCATCTCCTAAAGTTACTTGACGAAACATGAACTCAAGTAACGCACATTTAAGAATCCCTATTTTCGCTACACATCTTCCCCCATGATACGTCACTGCACACTTTTTATTTCACGCCCATGAACTATATTAATAATCTGAAGTACAACCATTTTAAATCGAATATTTATTGCACTATATATTTTTTTTTTTTATGGTGTAATATTTTCCATGACTTCAGATTTCGTTAGATGTTTTTGAAGCCTGCAGTGGTCCTCAAGTTAAAAAAAAATAAATAATAATAACAAAATTAAACAACACCTAAAATATTTTTTTTTACGTATTAATCATTTATATACATCTTTATTACTTTATTTTATAATACTCTTCTAATCTGCCACCCGCTTTTACACTGCGCGTTTATTTCCCCATCAATTTCAGAAGGAAAAAAAAATATTACGCGCCAAACGCACTTGCGATATTTTTTTTTAAAATGAATTTCATTTAGCGCCTTTATTGGGAATTTTATTTCATGAAATCAGTGACTTGACAAACAGGAAAAACTGAATTTTGGCGGTTGGGGTGGGTGTGGCTGAAAGATTAATAGAATGTGTTGTCACCGGCATCGATTCTGTGTGCCAAGTTTCAGCTCGATAGGTTGACAGGAAGTGGGTCAATTAACCGTCCGAAGATTTGCCAGGCCAGAACTAATGAAGGATAAGTTAATATAAAGGATTTAATTGTCTTTCTGGAAAAATAAACCACACAAGGTTCATCTACCTAACAATGCCCCGAAGTCTATGTACCTGGTAATACCACCAGGTCCATCTGCCTAGCAGTACCGAGGCAATCCACCTAGTTATACCAGGTCCATCTACCTATCAAATACCACCATATCAATACCAAGGCGTTCAGTCTGATATCAAGCAAAGGCCACACTCTTCTATAAATCTTTTAAAGTATTGCGAATCAATTGTAGCACTAACTTAGATCTACTCACAAAAAAAGACATTTAAGCATCAGTCGAATGGGAACAGGAACGCATGTCTACAAGACAATAAGGTCAGCCAACATGTCCCCCTGACGTCAGCTCCACGGAAACTTGATATCCAAAATCTTGTTGACCACACATAAACACATGTATACATACACACACTCAAACTCGCACAGCCGCATGAAATCACTCACCAAATTCATTCTCAAAAATTATGTGTAATCTGTTTTAAGCCAAGTAAGTCTGGTCTGGGTTATTACCTATGAAAAAGTATCGCAAAGCCTAGGCGTAGCGAAAAAAAAGGGGGGGGGGATGGGGGGTGGGGGTGGGTGGGTAAGGAGGGACAGATATCCCCGGGCGCCAGCTAGTTAGGGGCGCCAAAGTGTGCTTTGATATTACATTATTTATGATAATAATGGGTGTGGGAGTTGAAAAAAAGAAAAAGGGGGCGCTTTAAAATGAATTGTATCCCTGGGCGCGAATCTTGTCCCTTATCAATTCCTGTCTAATCTTATCAATTCCTGCCTAATCTTATCAATTCCTGTCTAATCTTATCAATTCCTGTCTAATCGTATCAATTCCTGTCTAATCTTATCAATTCCTGTCTAATCTTATCAATTCCTGTCTAATAGCCAGCTTACAGTAAATGTGAGAGCTAGGGTTATCTACCAGAATGAAAAAAATACAAAAAAAAAATTATTTATTAAACAATTCTGTCGAGCCCTTGGCTTAGTTTAAAACCAATGTAGAGGATTTCGATGCACCCGATCACCTAAAGGCACTTGTTTGAGAACCCGCGATTCCCCCCCCCCTCCCCCCCCCCCCCCCCCATCCGCCAGAATACCGCACTACAAACACCAGACGTGGACAGAAATTGACAGACCAGACACAAGACAGCGAGCCTCGTCTTCAAATCGTTATTGATCGTAACAAATTATTTATTAAACAATTCTGTCGAGCCCTTGGCTTAGTTTAAAACCAATGTAGAGGATTTCGATGCACCCGATCACCTAAAGCCACTTGTTTGAGAACCCGCGATTCCCCCCCCCTCTCCCCCCCCCCCCCATCCGCCAGAATACCGCACTACAAACACCAGACGTGGACAGAAATTGACAGACCAGACACAAGACAGCGAGCCTCGTCTTCAAATCGTTATTGATCGACTAATGACACTAAAAATGCCGAGTGGTCTCGCCCCAAGGTTGTTTCCCTTTCTTGAAGTTGTGGGTACTGAGATGACGAGGTCAAGATTAGTAGCGAAATAGATTAAAAAATAACATTCAGGTGAATTAGAATACCCATGGAAACACAAGTGGTATGACCATTACAGACAAGTGGTGTGACCCTTACACGCAAGTGGTATGACCATTACATACAAGTGGTGTGACCCTTACACGCAAGTGGTATGGCCATTACATACAAGAGGTCTGACCATTACATGCAAGTGGTCTGACCATAACATACAAGTGGTCTGATCATTACATGCAAGTGGTATGACCATAACATACAAGAGGTCTGATCATTACATGCAAGTGGTATGACCATTACATACAACGGGTATGATCATTATATAAAAGTGGTCTGACCATTACATACAAGTGGTATGAACATTACATACAAGTGGTATGACGATTACATGCAAGTGGTATAATAATAATAAAGTTCATTTAAAAAACACGCTTCATCCCCAAAGGCTCGAAGCGCGGTACAAAGTCAACAAAAAAAATATCTATAATTCACCAC